ACTGCCCCAGGCGTCCACACTGGCTCCGACCGGCCCCCGGCCCAAGCGCAAGACCGTGTCAGAGCTACTTCAGGAGAAGCGGCTTCAGGAGGCCCGTGCCAGAGAGGCCGCCCGGGGCCCAGTGGTGCTGCCGTCCCAGCTGCTGGTCTCCTCGCCTGTGGTCCTCCAGCCCCCTCTACCACACGCCCCGCACTGCCGCCCAGCCCCCGGGCCCGTCGTCTCAAATGCACCACTCTCTGGGCCTGGGACTCCCGCAGCAGCCAGGCCTGGCACTTCTGGCTTCCAGCAGGAGGTTGGGACTTCAGCCACCGACAAGAGACTCTCCACCCTGCAAGCCCTGCCCCTCGCTCCTGCCTTCACGGGGGCTGAGGGCACAGCCCCTTCCCTGAGCCCCGACCAGATCTCTGTGAGCTGCCCCGGGAGTGGCCTTGGACAGTCTCAGGCCCCCGCTGCATCCCGGAAGCAGGGCCTGCCTGAGGCGCCGCCCTTCCTCCCTGCAGCCCCCAGCCCTGCCCCACCGCCTGTCCAGCCCCTCAGCCTGACTCATGTAGGAGGACCAGGTGTGGTGGCCAGTGTCCCCCTGCCTGTCACCTGGGTGCTCACAGCCCAGGGGCTCCTCCCCGTTCCTGTGCCAGCTGTGGTGGGCCTTCCCAGGCCCGTAGGGACCCCTGGCCCCACAGGGCTGCTGGCCACTCTGCTGCCTCCCCTTACCGAGACTCAGGCGGCCCAGGACCCCAGGGCTGTGGCCAGTATGAATGTGGAACCAGAGCCTTCCTGCAGGACAGACCCACCAGCCCCTCCCACACAGGCCCCCTCCCAAAGTCCTGCAGAAGTGGATGGCAGTGTGGCCCTTGTCCCTGGAGAGGCCCAGGTGGCCAGGGAGATACCTGCACCCATGACATCCACCCAGACTGACCCCCCTGAAGCAGAACCCCTTTGGCCCAGGAGGCTGCCAGACCTTGGTGGTGCCATCCCAGCAAGTGAGCCAGCCGGGACACCAGGGTCCCCCTCAGGGACACAGGAGCCCAGGGGTCCTCTGGGCCTGGAGAGACCACCCCTGCCACAGCCTGGGCCTGAGAAGGGGGCCCTGGACCTGGGCCTGCTGTCCCAGGAGGGCGAGACAGCCACACAGGAGTGGCTGGGGGGTCGGCGGGGGGTGCATGTGCCTCCCCTGGTGAGCAGACTGCCCTACCAGCCCCCAGCCCTGTGCAGCCTGCGGGCCCTGGCTGGCCTCCTGCTCCACAAGAAGGCCCTGGAGCACAAGGCTGCCTCCTTGGTGCGCCTCCCGGCCGGGGTCCAAACTCAGCAGCCAACAGGAGTGCTGCAGGCCTCACGGGGGCTGGTGCAGGGGCAGCTCCAGGACAACCCCGCCTACCTCCTGCTGCGGGCACGGTTCCTGGCAGCCTTCACCCTCCCTGCACTCCTGGCCACTCTGGCTCCCCATGGCATCCACACCACCCTCTCAGCAGCTTCGATGGCGGGCTCCGAGAGTGAGGAGGAAGACCTGAGTGAGCTGGAACTCGCAGACGGGGCCAGGCAGCTGGGTCACAGGGTGGCCACACAGCTCGTTCAGGTAAAGTGGGTGCCCAGCCCCACTTCCCCATGGCAGGCGGCGGGGTGGGGGTCGGTGGAAGTTGCGGGCAGGAGGGCCGGCTGCCGGGTGTCTCAGGAGGAGGAAGCTGGCTCCTGCCTGGTCGGTTGCGTGTAGATTCTGCAGAAGTTGCCGTCCTTTGGGGCAGTGTGGAAAATAGGAGAGGGGCCTCATTCTGCTGCTGCCCAGCCAGGTCCTCTTGTCGGAGCCAGAAGCTCTGGGAGCAGATGCGGACCCGGCTCTGGGCCACACATGCCACACTGTGTGCTGCGGGGTGGGCCCCAGGCACAGCAGAGAGTGTGTTCGTCCTGCATTTCTAGGGTCCCAGAGGTCCCTCTTGCTGTCACCTTTCTGAGTATACTTGGGAAGAGTTTTCCAAGTTCTGTAGGCAAAACCACATTCGAAACCCTGGAGGAGAAGCCGTGAGGAGACGTGGCCTGGGAGGCTTCCTCCCTTGCTGCCAGGTGTCCACCTGTAGCCGCCAGGGGGCTGGCCTCCCTGAGAAATCGCCAGAAGCAGGCAGCCCCCGCTGGAGCTGTGGGCCTGCTGTGGGGAGGATGGCAGGGGCTGCCCGTCTCTTCCCACGGTTGTGCCTCGTTTCGTTCTGTGCTGAAGTGAGGGAGAACGTAGTGCCCGGGAGCGGGCTGAGGACCCCGGCCGGCCAGGGGAAGAGGCCCCCATGCCACAGCCATGAGTGATGGCCAGCCTATGGGGGAGCAGAAGGCTGGCCATGGGGACGGCTTAGACGGGGTTGGAGCCCCCGAGGGAGGGAGAGTGCAGTGGGAAGCAAGTCACACGTGGCCTCAGGAGTGCCTGGAGCAGCTCCGGCCCCCGCTGAGGGGCCCCATCCCAAGTGGGACACTTGCCCACAGGGCTTCTCCTCACTCCCTGCCCCTTCCCCGCCCATCATGGCTTATGGGGGTCACTCAGCCCCACTGCTTGGATTTTGTTTCAGGGAGCCCCAGACTCCGGCGAATGCTCTGCCTCTCCCTGCCAGGGTGCTTCTGATGACCTTGATGTTGACGACCTTGATGTGCTGAGAACCCGGCATGCCAGGCACACCCGGAAGCGGAATTGGCTGGTGTGAGCAGCAGGTGAGCCCGAGTGGGAGGCCACTGTCCTGTGACCCGGGGGGGGAGAGGCGTCTGAGCTGGGGACGCCAGCTTCCCTCTGCTCTTTGCTTTGGTGCTGACAGCAGGTGTGTGGGGTTAGGTTGGGGGCTGGGACTATGTGGGCCTTGAGGGCAGGTCCAGAGTCATGGGGGCCCTCTGTGGGGAGAAGCATTGAAGCTGCCCATGCCTCGGGCCTTGGCACCATTGCCCCGTGACCACAAGGCTCATTCCCTGCCCTTGCTGGGGTCCCGGCTCCTCCCTGGCTGCCGTACTCCGGTGGCGCGCGTTCCTGTGCATCGCTCTGTCCTCTCCCCACCGTGACCAGCCACAGAGCATCAGGCTGGCTTTTCACTGCTGGGGCCCTGGTTCCGACGGCAGGTGCCCTGGGCCTTAGCACATGTGGATCGGATTCACCAAGCAGACTGGGAGTGGCTGGCACCAGGGCAGACTTGGTTCCCGTCTGTCTGTCCCAGCGCTGCTTGGGGGTCTGGCTGGGCTCAGGGGCACCCCACCACCTGGGTGTTCTTGTGTTCCAGGACAGGCACTCCCCAGAAGCCCGTGACCCTGCTGGTGAGAGGCAGCCACAGGCCAGGGAGCTGCTGGCCGCTGACCAAGCAAGTCTGCGGGGAACAGGGATGGCCCTGCAAACTGAACGTGTGGCTGGTCCCCAAGTGCACGTCTCAGCCCTGGGAGGAATAAAGTTCTGTTTCTAACTGTAGAGCCAGACACAGGCTGCCGTGGTTTGTTGTCCTGAGATGCTGGGCAGCGTACAGGGAGCCTCTGCCCGGCCAGGGTCAGGCCGCTGCCCGGTGGCCCAGCCACTCTAGTGCAGGCAGTTTGGGGACAGCAGGGTGCTGGGGCTCAGCACTGTGGTCCTCGAGCCTCCTGTACCCTGGCTGCCCTCCTGGCAGAGACACAGGCTTTCGCCCATTTCTTGGAAAGCATCTGTGGCTCTGGCCTTCAGGCTGAGCCAGTGCCCACCCCAGACGGCCGCCAGCCTTGCGCCAGCCTGGCTGAGCCAGGGGTTCCCTGGAACAGGTGACCTGGCTACCCAGACACGGCACCCCGCCCGCCTTCACTGTTCCTTTTGCATGGGCCTTTCCTGGCACAAGACCACGCCTCATCTTCCCCGTCTGTCCCCTCGCAGCCTCTCCTTTGTCTCCGTGTCAGCGTCCTCAGGCCCTTGGTGCTCCTGTGGGCTTCACTCCTTCACTGGAACCACTGGGGGGCCTCAGCTCTGGGCACCTGGCCAGCCTGGCTCCCGAACACGTGTTACTGCGCCTGGTTCTAGTAGCTGGTGCCTCATCTCCTGGGGGCCCCTCTGGCCTGTGGGTGATTTAGAGGTATATTTCATTTCCAAATACTTAGGGATTTTCAGATACCTGTTACTGATTTTTAGCTTCTGATATGGTTAGAGAACATGACACTTGTATTCATTTCTAAATACACACACCACAAGGAAGACATGGGTCCTCGTTCTGCAAGCTGGGGAAACACTGGCTCATGAGGGCCTGGCACCAGCTCACACCCACTCTCAGCAGGGCCCAGGACGGTGCTTCTGCCCACACACTCATCCTGCTGGTCAGGGGCACGGCAGGGGCACAGCCCCCTGGAATGTGGCTTTGCCAAGAACGCACCAGGACCCTAACAGCCCGCCCCAAGAGCCCACGAGGACCCTAACTGTCTACTCCTCAATGCATGGTGTCAGGTGCTGTCCCTGCAGAGGCCTGAGGGCTGGAGGCTGGGAGAGGTAGGTGAGCGCCACACCAGCTTCCTGCCCTTCCGGCCTGGTGGCCCCTTCTCAAAGCTGCTGGGCGGCAACTCGGTTCAACCAGCTTTACCGGGTGAGCCGGGGCCTGGGGGTTCCCAAACCTGCAGGGATGAAGCGCTGACAGCCCACACGCTGAAGTGCACGATTCAGGGCAGACTGCTGCCTGCTGTCGTGGGTGGGCGCGGAGCTGTGCCCTTCCATCACCGGCCCTTCTGAAGCTGGTTTGGGGGACTCTGGGAGTGGCCTTAGTCCCCACGTGCATCCTGGTGAAGAGCAGGGACGCCTCGATAAGAACATAACAGTCCAGCGACACTTCTGGAAGGGATGTTTCTCTCGTGTGCAGCTGGGTGGTGGCTGGTGCCGTGGCCCCGGGCAGGCTGCAGTGGCCTCCTGGGGGCCATGAGGTGGGCTGCAGCCCTGTTGTGACCAAGGTGTGTTCTGGTCATGCTGTGTGGCTGTGTGCTTCCCTGCATGTGCCCTGAGGGCCTGGCCCATACCAGCTGGCCCAGCCCTGCCAGATGCTGGCAAAGGTGAACCTTCGCACACAGCAGACCCACTGAAGAAGCCTCCAGAAGTCTGTGACCAGGCCAAAGCAGCTGGGTGTGGGTTGACCTTGTTGGGCCCCCTGGGGGCCTCTGCTCTCTCTTCTGCTTGCCAGGTGCCAGGGTTAGGCCTCTAAGGCAGCCCCAGGACCCATGGCCACCAGACAGGCTGGGAGTGCTGGGAGCAGCCTCCCTGGAGGGCAGAGGACTTCCACTTCCCTCTGCCCCACCTCTTGGGGCCTCCTGGGCTGGGCGAATCAGAACGCAGGCCGCCAGGGACTGTCCCCCTGTGGGAGGACTGGTGGGACTGTGGAGTTAACCAGAACCCATCAGGAAGTGCACAGGCGTCCCAGCGTGCTCCTCTTCCCTGCAGTCACGGGGAGCATCTCCCAGAGGCTCCGCAGCCCAGGCTCCTGGTTCGTCTGCGGTCAGGTGGGTCCTGGACCCTCAGGTGGGTAGGTCTGGTGCTTTTCTGAAAGGTGGCCAGGAAGGTTGGTGTCAGTCTCGTTCAGGATCCTGGCGCTGATGCCCCAAAGAAGCGTGAAGCTTCCCACGGGGAGCTGGGCAGCCTCCGCGTGCGGCCCCCTCCATTTCACGGCCACTGGGCAGGGACGTGTTCATTTCAGTGGCATTACCAGCCGAGGCAGGTGGGACTCTGGATTCAGACTGGCGAGGCATGCAAGGGGCCCAGCGTTCCCAGGACTGTCCGCTGTGTGGGTGGTGCTTCTATTCAGCCCCTTGTCTGTCAAAATTGGCCTGAATGGGATGACAAAGCACAGGAGGAAGTTGAGAAAATCCTCAAAAGACCAAGCCTGGGGCAACTGTGTCTCCAGGAGAGGTGACACAGCTCCTTTGGGCTGGAAACCAGCTTTCCCAGCGGGGCTGGAGGCTGTCTGAGGAGCGGGGTCTTGCGTGGGAGGCAGAACCGTGTGGGCGCTCCCCGCCTTGGCCCAGTCTCAGTCCCGGAGGGAGTGGCTTTCAGCGGCAGAGGCTTCCACCATGCTGGCAGAAAGGGACAGCAGTGGCTGGTCCCAACATAGGTAGTTCTTTTGTTGTGGCCAGTGAGATAGTCCTGGAGGGGGTGGCCGTGGGCCGGGCCTCACTGGGGGCAGGAGAAGAGTCCAGGGATTCACTGGTGCCCAGCACCTATGAACCTGGAGAAAACGCTACAGCGGCACTCCTGGCTGCCTGGGGCAACAGTGACAGCCCCTCCCAGAGTTGTGGGGCCGGGGGTGGGGTGGGGGGTGACAGAGACACTCCTGCGGGCAGCTCTTCCCAGCTCATACAGTGACCCTGGCAGCTGTGGCAGGGCTGGGCGGCCACTCTTGCATCATCAGCAGCCGGCCATGGAGGAGGGAGAGCACAGCCCGGGATGTGAGCGGGTGTTGGTCAGGGGAATGAGGAAGTCCCAAAAGGACCAGCTCCCCAGCTGCTGCGCTGGTGGGAGGGTCTCAGGCCAACCCGCTCTCACCCAGCTCGGCCTGGCCATAGTGCCAGGCAGGTGCTCACACCTCCATGCACTCCACCCATGGAGGCGGTTGTCTTTGCAGGCTCCAGGGTGAATTGGGAGTGTTCAGGATGCAGAGGCCAGAGAGGGGTCATGCTGAAGGGGGAGTTCCTCTTTCGGACCCATCTGTGCCTCCCTGGGTGCATACCTGGGTGACAGGATGGCTAAGGGGCAGCAGCAGGGGCTGGAAAGGCTGTGGAGGGGCCTGAAGGGGAGGGGGTCACTGTCTCTGCTGCCTCCCTGGGGGATCTGGCTGTGGGAATGCGCACCTCTCCCGGACACCCCCGGGCTGATCCCCTTGACAGCCCTGACGGGAGTGCTGGCCAGCATCTGAGAAGGGAGTGGGCGCAGGGCCTGCGTGGGGGCGGGGGCCGGCGTCACGCTCAGTGGCTGCCCCAACTCTCCCCAGCCTGCCTGCTGGGGCCATGTCAGACTACGAGAACGATGATGAGTGCTGGAGTGCCCTGGAGGGCTTCCGGGTGACGCTCACCTCGGTCATCGACCCCTCACGCATCACGCCCTACCTGCGGCAGTGCAAGGTCCTGAACCCCGATGATGAGGAGCAGGTGCTCAGTGACCCCAACCTGGTCATCCGCAAACGGAAAGTGGGTCAGTGCTGTCCCACAGGCTCCCGGCCCCAAACCCAACCAAGGAGCCGGATCGGAGGTGGCTGCAGGCTCTGCGACCCTGACCCTTGACCCCAGAGGAGCCCCGCCCGGTTTTGCCCCTGGGCACCCAGTGAGGCGCAAACTCAACCCTGACATGGCCGCCCCGCCCCCCAGCCCTCTGTTGCCAGCTCGGTGCTGCCAAGAGGGGCCGTGGGGCTCCCACCACAGCAGGGACTCCTGAAACAGCCAAGGGGCGGGTGGGCAGCACTTTGCCCCCAGCCTAGTACCTAGACCCTCAGGGTGCCTCATCCACGACCCAGACCGCAGCGCACCTCCTCTGCGTCCCAGCCTCCACTTCTCCCTGCCCCCAGACCCACCCACCCCAGCCCTCTGCCCCGCCAGCACCCCGTCCCTAGTTCAGCCTCTCTGACCCGCAGGTGTCCTCCTGGACATCCTGCAGCGGACAGGCCACAAGGGCTACGTGGCCTTCCTGGAGAGCCTAGAGCTCTACTACCCACAGCTGTACAAGAAGGTCACAGGCAAGGAGCCAGCCCGTGTTTTCTCCATGATCATTGGTGAGTGACGGGGAAGATGGGGCCGGCGGGGCCGGGCAGTGGTGCTGGGTCATCTGCCAGGCCCACATGCCTAGGAGTCCTGAGCTCCTGCCACAGTGCGAGGCGTGATGGAGCTGGACCGCCGGGGAGCGAGGGCCCTGACACTGGCCCGGCCCACAGATGCGTCCGGGGAGTCAGGCCTGACACAGCTGCTGATGACCGAGGTCATGAAGCTGCAGAAGAAGGTGCAGGACCTGACCGCGCTGCTGAGCTCCAAGGACGACTTCATCAAGGAGCTGCGGGTGAAGGATAGTCTGCTTCGCAAGCACCAGGAGCGCGTGCAGAGGCTCAAGGAGGAGTGTGAGGCCGGCAGCCGTGAGCTCAAGCGCTGCAAGGAGGAGAACTATGACCTGGCCATGCGCCTGGCGCGCCAGAGCGAGGAGAAGGGCACCGCGCTCATGCGGAACCGCGACCTGCAGCTGGAGGTGCGCCCGCTGCCCCAGGGAACCAGGGTGGCCCCCCTCGCCTGGCCTGGCGGGGTCTGCAGGTCGGGGGCGGCCCCATGGGTCGGCTGTCAGCACCTGGAGTGGACGGCTGGGCTCACCCGGCCTTCCGCAGATCGACCGGCTCAAGCACAGCCTCATGAAGGCCGAGGACGATTGCAAGGTGGAGCGCAAGCACACGCTGAAGCTCAGGCACGCCATGGAGCAGCGGCCCAGCCAGGAGCTGCTGTGGGAGCTGCAGCAGGAGAAGGCCCTGCTGCAGGCCCGGGTGCAGGAGCTGGAGGCCTCGGTTCAGGTGGGGCCGCGGGCAGGGCGGGCGCAGGTGGGGCGGGTGCAGCCCGGCCGGGCGGCATGGGCCTTCCCAGCCGGGCCATTGCTTTTTGCCCCCTTCAGGAGGGGAAGCTGGACAGGAGCAGCCCCTACATCCAGGTGCTGGAAGAGGACTGGAGGCAGGCACTGCGGGGCCATCAGGAACAGGCCAGCACCATCTTCTCCCTGCGCAAGGACCTCCGCCAGGGCGAGGCCCGTCACGCCCGGGTATGAGCGCTGTGGGGACACGTGGCCCCTGAGGGCCAAGCCAGGCTGGGTGGGCAGACCTCCGCCCACTCTGTCTGGAAGGTGGGGTGCGGGGACCCCAGGGCAGCGTCTCCACTCACCCACTCTTGGAGGCACAGTGGATGGTACCCACTCCTTGCTCACCTGCACCCCATGGCAAAGGCCATGGGCTCACTGTAGCTGGGCACAGCAGTGCCTGAGGCCTGCGGGAGAGCCCTGTGCTGCTGCGGTGTGGAAGTGGGGGGCGGTAGGGGCCTGGGGACTCCTATGGCCTCCCTCAACATCCCAACTGACCTGACCCATGTTCCTGAGCTCCTAGCTGGAGCATCCCCAACGGGTTAGAATGGGGAGCCTCAGGCCTTTGGGGGCTGAGCTGCTACCCCCTGCAGTGCATGGAGGAGAAGGAGACGTTGGAGCTGCAGTGCCGGGCCCTGCGCAAGGACTCCAAGGTGTACAAGGACCGCATCGAGGCCATCCTGCTGCAGATGGAGGAGGTCGCCGTGGAGCGGGACCAGGTGGGCGCTCACGGGGGCGGGGCGGAGTGCCCCACTCGAGGTGGGTGCCCCAGGGCCACAGCCCTTGAGGGCAGTTGTCAGAGGGTTTTTAATCTTTGTTATTTTCGAGATGGGGTCTCCCTGTGTCACCCAGGCTGGCTTCAAACTACTGGCCTCAAGCAATCCTCTGGCCTCAGCCTCCCAAAGCGCTGGGACTGCAGGTTAAGCCGACACACTGGCCTGTTTTTAAAATGACAGAAGGAATATCTAACACTAAAAACAAAGTAAACTGATGAAGTCAACACTCCCCACCCCAGCCTGCTGTCAGGGGAAACTTCCACCATCCGGCTCCACCTTAACAGACATCTCCCCTCCCTCTCCTCCCCTCCCCTCCCTCTCCTCCC